TATGGGAATTTAAACTTAATATACAGTCATAGATATGTTCTTCCAATTATTACAATGAATCCATCGTTTTATCACAGTTCAATCATTGCTGTGGTGTGTACGCAACCTGCCTGGACGCAGCTGACCAATATCCAGAAAATACAAAATTCATGTTTGCGGCATGTTTATGGAGTTCGCAGACGGGATCGTTTTTCTAAATATTTGACTATTTCGGGTTGATTTAACATGTGCAATAGGTTTGGGTTACACCGTGTTACATTGTACTTTAAATTAATGAAGTATAAATCTCCTGAATATCTTTTTAACAAAATCACGTTATCTAAAACAAAACATTATATTGAGTAAACCACAACATCGAAAAGAAATGTTTAGTGTAGATCATTTTCTTATAGCATTGCACATACAATAAATAATTTAAGTCTTTTAGATTTAACAATATCAAATAAAAAAATTAAAAACATTTGATAAAGACACGGTGTTGTCGAAACAATTGTCATGTCATAATATATAATTTCGTGAAAATCTGAACTTTTAGTTCTTATTTATTTTGTTAAGAACCGGTATAAAAAATATCTCCTTGGAACTCAATAATTTCTGTATCGGAAAACAGAGTGGTTCCCCTTACCCCCTCCTTTCTCCTTTGTCCTGCGGCTTCTCCCTTTATTGGAAACCATATTTGCTTAATGTATTGTAAACTCTGAGTAACATATTTAATTTTGTTTACTTGGTTCCTGTTTTTTCTTGTTCTTAGTGTAATTTGGTTTACATTAAATTGAGGCTTATTATTATTATATTTTCCCACCGCCCTCTCTCTCTCCCCACCCGCGTCTCACTATTTCCTCTTTCTTCTGTACCGTCCCGTACATATAAATCCGGAATCAGTCGGCATAGCAACACGTTTAATATATCGTGGCATGGGCGAACGGAAATGACAAATTTTCGCGAAAATCAATTCGGTTCAAACGGCTTCCAAGCAGAAACGTTAACCGCCCGTGCGTTCACTATACCACTCGTCGCGAACATTTTCATTAAAGAAAACAATAACCCGATCAATTCAGCTCTTATCCTACCGGCATCGCAAAAGCCGATGCACTAAACATACACGAGGTATTGAAATATTTACCAAAAGAGAATTAATTCAGCACGATTCCGAAGACTATTAGTTCGTGAGAACTGTCGCTACCGTTTGGCCGCATCTACACACAAAGGAGCATTCGCAGGCAATATCAGCCCCGAATAGATTATGGCGGTGTTTCATTAGATATTCCCTGTCCCACTACAGAGAATATAATCTCCGATTGTTAGCTGTGCGATTTCCAGTTGCGAATTGTCGCAAGAGATTTGACTTTGGTGTCCCAAATGAGAAATTAAGTTAAAAGTCCGCAATTGCTCGGAGTCGAGATTGGGTTTCCTTTGTGGTGCGACCTGGTTGACGAGGGGTGTTTGTTGGCAAACTGGTCCCATGACATTTCGGTAAGAGGATTCCTCAAAAAAGAGTCTGTTTTAGATGCGAGATTTGTTTCACTGTTAATTTATTTAATAACTCTGCCTTTATTCAGAGGACATCACAGCACTTTGTAAGCAAATGATCTTGGTCTAGGTTGGCGAGAAAAGGGGTACAGGGTGATGAGAAATATTGGGAACTGGAGCTGCTCTAAGAGAGCATTGCTTTCGTCCTAGCAAAAGCTAAGAGTGTTGGCCAGTTTTATTTATCCATTTTTTAAACCTAGTCTGATACCACACAATATGTACCACCTCTTGCATTCTGCTGTACCTGCTTTATGCCTATACATCTCAAAGAAAATTTAGTATCTATCAAAAAACTCTTTCAGATTTTGCATTTTATAACTTCAAGCACAATTTTAGCAAATTTCGATAGAGTAGACATAGAAATTTATTGTTTTTGATGTGCCGTATCCTTCCTGTCAACCTGCGTTCTATATTGTATTTATGTATGTAAGGGAGAAGTTTTTTCAAAATAAATAAGAACTAAAAGTTCAGATTTTCACGAAATTATATATTATGACATGACAATTGTTTCGACAACACCGTGTCTTTATCAAATGTAATATCTACAAACTACCTGATACTATATATACCGAAAAATGATCATAAAACCTTAATTAACGTTGTGCGAGAATTTTAGTTCAGTAAAGGAGAGATATTTAAATCTAATTGATCGTTAAGCAATACATTTGAATGTCTCATTTTGTTAATCTCCATGGCTTCCAATAAATTTAATTTTCTACTATTTGTGGCTGTGTGTAATATATCAAAATTGTCGTCAAAAATGTGTTTTTCTGTGTTTAAGTGTGTAGCATAATTAGAATCTAGACTATTATTTTTAAATCAGTTACTCACTAAGTTAGACGGATTAAGAGCCATCAGTATGTTTTCTAATTTCTTAATTATCACTGAAAAGGTGATCATAAGCTCATCATTGTCGTTTAAAGTTGCTGAAGTATATCTGTATCAGATAAAGGAGTAGCGTAGTAATTCGAAAACCGGAGTCTTAGTTGAATATCGACATACGAGTAATACTGACTACACCGCCACTACTATTTACAAATCTTCTGGATGTCTTGCATCTCGGACATTTCACCAACCATGCTTAACTGAAGCTCTGAAGAAGCCAACAGGAGCGATCCAGAAGATTCTTAAATAGTCATAGCCTATGGAAGTTGGAAGTTAAAAATTAACCAAACCACAACTTTAACATTCTGGATGATAAAAAGTAAATTTCGGTATTTATATATTTATTGCCGATATTGAACTTTTAGTCAGTGGCAAAAAATGTCATTATGGATCTATGGATCAGTATTGTGGACAGGGGAATATTTTCATTATTTGGCGAAGAATTTTGAAAAAAATGGTCTGCTAAAATTTATAATGTTTGTTAAATTATTAAGTCAACATCTACACTACAGCAAGAAATGCAGCAAGAAATAAATGAATAATAAAAAGATCAAAACCAGAGTCATGCAAAAGTTTATGAAATGGGGCAGCTATTAGAGGGACTCCAAAGTCTTACTAACAAAACATAATCATTTAATGTAATACTTTTTACAAAACTTCTGGATTGCTCCTGCGTCGGTTTTTGTTGAGTCGAACTTGCTGACGTTTCTCCAATCATCCTGTTGCCTTCTTCAGTGCTTGATTGAAACAATTTTGTAAAAAGTATGAGAGAAACTGTTTTGTTTTTTATTGAATGCTTCCAAAGGTCATCATTGCGAACGGTAAATTGAAAACATTTTATTTTTTCCCTATTTTGTAGCTCTATGATTTACTTTTACGGCAGCTCACTTCTTAGATAGAGATACCCGATTGAAATGGATACATTGTTCCCGCCATTGATTATTGTTTTTTCTGTTTCCCAGCCGCTGGTACCTGGTACCATATCCCAAACTCATTCGCTAATTGTTACTGACTAACTTAGCTTATTATGATTAAAATTAATTCAAAACATTTATTATTTACGGTTTTAGCACAGATCAGTTTATATGGCATTTTTTAATTGTTTACTTGCATCCTGCTTTCTAGCTCAAGATGGTGTAAGCCTATATGAGGTTTTTACTTTTCATTATAGTATATACTTTCAACTCAAAGTGGGCTGCTTTAGATATTAGTTTGAGAGTTTTGAGGCAAAAACTAATTAAATACTAACACTAAAACACTTTTGGGAAGGGAGCCTTACGTTTGCTCGGATGCCCGATATTTCTTGTAATGTAACGTATCTGTTTTGACAACAATTGGAAATGTTGTCAGTTTATCTTTAAATGGACTAACTGGGATTTGCCGTATATTCCTTTCTATTATGCTTGGCCCCGCATATTTTAGAATACTTTTTACATTTTAGACAAAACTGCTCAAAACATTTACTGACGCCTTAATGTTTTCTGAGATGTTTCTCAAACTACTGTGAAGAAGACGAGGCTGCTTCTTTTCTCTTAATATATTATAATCTTTTTAAACAGTAGTGCTTAACGAAACCATTTCCTTTAAAAGTAGTTTTGACCGTATCTGCTAGATAGATAGATCGATTGATTTTTTTTTGTTTGAGTAAATTACAACTCGTCTAAGTACAAAAGAAAAAATATACAATTAAACTTCCTAGTTCGAAGCAAATTTGAGGAGGAAGTGGGGTTTTTATTATTATCTGAGTAAACTGAAACCGTATTTCTTGAGTTATGAATTTGTAATACCGTGTGATACATGTATGCCGATGGCAGTGGCATAACCCCAAGATTCTGAAAGAGCGTTGGATATAATTCTGATCGCTTTTTTTGCATACGAAATTTTTTTTTGGAATCTATTCATTTTCTCCACAGCATAACAGCATATGACAAAATTGAATGAAAAAGAATATAGTAGAGACTAGAGACTAGATAATCCTTTCCGATTAAATTTTTCAATCGTCATAACAAAAATTTGACACTGGAGAGCCGCTTTACTAAATAAGCAATATGGTCCTTCAAAGAGAGTCTATTATCCAGGACCACACCCAATAACAGGTCTTTCCGAAAGATTTACATTTGAAAAGTTTTATCCTCATTCAATTCTAGGCGATTGGCTGTAAACCACCTATTGGCATGTTCTTTCGCCGACTGTGTTCCCCCTTTAAGAGTTTTGATGTTTTAAATGTAGAGTCATCTGCAGCCACAGAATCAATATAGCCCGGTAGAACTCCGTGCATTACATTTCGTAAACTTGACTGGACCAAACACTCCCGAAGTTTTCACCTATAAGTCTCACAACATCGCAAAGAATTTTACCAGACATTTTTTGAGTTAAAGATGACATTTTACAGCACTGAACATTTAGGACCGGCAAACAAATGCTATAACTAGGCAAAATTAGGCAACGCCGCCCATTTCGGATTTAATATCCTCTACTGATGGCGCACGTCCAGAATATTGTATGAATTAGGGTCTAGTGTGGCTCTAACTATCGTATAGAGGCGTTCACTCGAGTCTGTTAAAAAGAAGTCTTAATCTTTCCAGGTCTATGCCGGTGCACCGGTACCACGTAACCCAGCACTGGCCGCTTGCCAGTACCGTGGTTCGACGCTCTCCGTCAACGGCGAACTCCAGCAGCAGGCTGCTGCGTTGGCCCGTACGCGACAGCCATCCATGGGCATAGACACCGACATGGTCAGCGAATTCGACCCGAGCAGTTCCGACAGTGGCGTGGTCGCGCAGTGCACGGCAGTGAAACCTTTGAAACTGCGTCTGTGCAAGCCGATTTTCGGCCGCGCGAAACAGGCGAAAAACCGGCGGACTGACGACAAAAAGACGTTAAAAAGTAGTGAGGGCGACAGTAAACCGGTGGTGGAACACGTAGTGCCCCGCGTGCAAAAACCGAGGGACCCGGAACGCGAGAAGAAACGTATAGCTAGGAAAAAAGAAAAGAGGGCGACGTTAATTTTAGGACTTATAATGGGTTCGTTTATAGCGTGCTGGCTGCCGTTTTTCTTTATGTACATATTAAGACTGGCCTACGATATACCCCCGATTGCGTTCTCGACGGCGTTTTGGTTAGGGTACGTATTTTTATACGCTGATACCGACCATGGCAACCATTGGTTATTTGTTATTTGGTTTCACTGGGGGCACTTTACCTATAAAATTTTTTTGATTTTCCCTGTATTATATTTAGTTAGACTGATATTGCAAAATAGAACAGATTGCCTTAAGCAGAATCACATATCCTCAAAGAGTGTTACTCTTGTTATCATTTAGCCACAAATCGATTTTTTATTCTCGGCTCGAAATTTACCTATAAAGGTGATTTTACCTAATATGACTTAATGAAATTTGAAAAAGTCATTGTCACAATCCGTTAAAAATTAGTTTATATTAAAAGAGCTTATTATCCAACTGCTACTGTGATGGCCCATCAGGAATATTCAAATACTGAATATCGCGATATGCATTTTGGCCACAGAAGAGCAAATGGAAATGCAGATCAAGCACGACGTTCCATCTGCTAAGCCATTCATCAACATACATGGGAAAAATTCAAAATTACCCGCAATTCTTAAATAAAAGCCGCATTCAGTCGTGATGATATTGTAAATTTTCGAAATATGGAACATTGGAAACCCACATGCAAGAATTGAAGGAAAATATCAGCGCCGGTTTTCTTGAAATGTATAGGCAGGGTTTATAGGAGATAATCTTATAGAACCTCATTTCTTTAACGGGTCGCTTAATGGGGAAATGTATTTGCAATTTCTCCAAGAGGAATTACCACCTTTGGTGGCGACAATACATGTGGTTATACCAGCTTATACCGTTGAGAATCAAACCCACTGCGTTAAAAATAAAATTTAAGAAAATAAATTTTGACAAACTATAACTCGGAAAATATTACGATTCGAACCCAATATCGTAACACCCTGTATGCTTAAACAGACACAAGTTGTGCAGCTTGAAAAAACTTACAAAATAAATAAATTACCCAAATCGGTTTATTTGTTCATTACTTATTGCAAAAAAAAAACTGTTTTAGATAAACCATTCAAAATATGGTGCAAAAGTTCAAAATAAAGTGCAAAACAACAGAAAATAATTATCGTGCCACACCCAACGGGATTTGACGGGTTTTCCCGTAACGAAACACTTGACATGAAGTGGACTATTATTGTTTTCGAAAATTACCAAAAAAGCGGTCGTAAGTGGTTTAATGCCAATCTGCAGTACTACACTCAAGTTGTTGAATACTCTATACATTTAATTTTCTAATTATCCACACACTCAGTTTACCCTGAATACCCAAAATAAACCAAGACTTAAGAAAAATAAAAATAAGTCAACGACCTGTAGAAAAGTAAAAATGGGGAAAGAGAGAAACCGTTTCTAGCCTTAACCGTGACATGCCGGCAACCTCCGTCACTTCCTGAATGTGTTTCGACAACACGAACAAGTGACCATGTTAGTGGTGTGCCCAGATCATTTAACCAACCTCCTGGAAGGTTTTGAGTTGAGATATTCGACATGCTGGAAAATTACCAATATAAGAGGTGATCGGCTCCTGATTTACTCGGAAGCATCTGTATCAACATGACAGACAACGACGTATTGCTTTCCGGGCAGACAATATCCAAAACTATAGAGCTACTAAAAAATAAAGGGTTTGCAAACTAGGGTGGAAAAATTTCCGATTGAAATATTCTACAATTAAGTCCGTTAGACTATGTTTCTGAGGTAACAATATGGGAAATTTGACTTTGCAGCGGACTTGCCCTTTTCAGTCTGATGCATAATGTCTCAGAATGATTCACCAAAACCATTAAAGCTGACTGCAAATAGTTCTCACAGAATGAGCCAACCCTTCTTCTGAAAATCTAAGGCAATAAAACTATGAATAACGAGGATAGGAGGTACTTCCACCGGTAAATTTTTATACACTCTTTTAAATCAAGGCAGTTTAGGAAATCATTGTGGAATCAAGCTGTTGATGAAATTTAAAATCAATGAGATCTTCTTCTTAATGTACCCATCCGTTTCGCATGTAAGCGATAACTAATTAAGGTGCAGATAGGAAAAACCAAGTTCTTCCAGGTCCTCTTCTGCCTAAGATCTTTCTCTGAAGTATTATCTCAAGCAGACCATACCTGTTTTGGTTCCTAATTATGTACCCCAAATAATGTAAATTGCGTTTTTTAATAATGTCCATTATTTCGTTCTCTTTTTGAAGCATCTTTGAAGCACTTTTCGGCACCATACAATAGCAGAGTGAGTTACACTGTTCATTAATCGTAGCGACCAAATATGTATAATTCGATTGGTTGATAATAAAACGCGAGTTGGCCGGGCTGTACATTATGTTTACTAATTACTATGAATTCGGATTATTTAACATTAAGTGATAATATGTGTTCAGTGCTGACGTCAACAACGTGGTTCATCAATTCTTCAAGACCTTCGAGGGAATCAGCAAACACAACCGTATCGTCCGCATTGTTCAACCTCTCTCCGTTAATTAGTACTCCAGCGTCCACATTCTCCAGTGTCATGTTAATTATATGTTCCAAACAGAGATTAAATAAAGTCTGAGACAAAACACAGTCCTGCCTGACACCGCTCCTTGTATTTATATCTTCCACCTTGATATTTGCTGTTTGATGCCAGTACAGATTTATTAAAGACGTAAACTTTTTTCGTCAATGCTTATCGTTCTTAAAGTCTCTATCATTTTATCGTGTCGGATTTTATCGAATCCCTTCTGATCAGGCAGACGTATATGTTACACTCAATATCTCTACAACGCTGAAATAGAACCTGGATAGCGAACAATGCCTCCCAAATTGTACATTTGAAATATTTTTCTCGCATTTGTTCGTTAATAATAGCTTGAGGAGGTGGCTGATGAGGCTAATTAGTCTATAACTCTCGCATTATTTTGCACTGTTTTTTTTTTGAGATAGGTAATAATAATGAGATAATAAATTCAATTTTCTAGACAAATGACAAAGTTCATTACTCAGTATTAATAATTCAAAAAAGCCAGATTAGATAAATTATATTTTGGTAATAACGAAGCAGCAAAATGTAATGCATTGATTCTATAAATTAAAATATATTAACAGAAAATTTAAGTGTTACACATATTCTATGCGAACTAACTTATATCCCGAAGCAATATTTGCAGCAAGACACAACATGACAAACTACCACGTTTTGATTAAGGCATGGAAGAAGTGACACCAGACAACTGGTGAAAAGTACCATATGATTAAAGAGCCTCATATGAAGAATATTATGATTTTTTTATCATTTAAAGTATGAATAACGTATTTTCTACAAAATTTTCAGCGTTAATGAAGGAACAACAATAGGTAGAAACCATAAACTGGCTTAAGAATTGGTTGAGTTTTTCTATAGTTCCTTTGCATAAATAATGAGGTTATACTACTCTACACCTTTCAGAAATTGTTTTTTTCAGAATCTGTTCAAACGTACCCTGCTAGGAAAATTTGTCAGTTATTAACCTGTCGAATTGTGATGACCTCAAATAAATTGACGATTTACACGTAAAAATGTCTGTGTCTGTTGAACCGTCATACCCTATCTACTACGTCAGGTTTAATTTTGTTGTATAAAATTGTTTTTATTGAAAATTAGAATACCAAAGAGCTACAACAGTACATCCTTTATGTCAAGATGATTGCTATTTTTTAGCTCGAACCTATTTGAGATTATACACATTAAAATGACACAATTTCTGATAGCAGCATGTCACTACAGGCAACTTTATGATAGTGAAACTTTTGCGACGATAACAACTCAATCCACAATAAATTGTTAACCAAAAAAGGCTATTTACAAATCTTCTAAATTCCTCCTGCATCGGTTGTGGGTTGTGTATAAATCAAATTTACTGACGTTTCACCAATTGGTAAATTCTGGAGAAGCCAGGATGATTAGCGAATCGTCAGCAAGTTTCATTTATAAACCAACGACGCAGAAGGAATCCAGAAGATATGAAAATAGTACTAAATAGTTGAAGTTTCTTTGTATGTAGCGGCATATTAATATGCAAGAGTAAATTCGTAATTTTAAAGAACGTTGTTTTTGCTCGGTCAATTCTTCTCTTAACTTCTTCATCGCGATCCCACCCCTCATTGCGGGAGGCGCCAAGATAAGTCACATTTGCGACCTGTTCGATGTTACTGTTCACCGAACTGGTTTAGTTTATTTAGCAGAATCTGAAGGTCTTCAAGGTTGTTAGAAAGAATTGTGCTGTCATCTGCATAGCGGATATTATTTACTGGGATGCCGTTGTCTTTAATACCTCGTGTCTCACCGGCCAAAGCCACCTGAAAGATTTTTTCAACATAGATGTTAAACATAATACGCTGAAGGTCTCCATTGTCGGACTACCATCAATACGGATCTCAGCGCGCTCCTGCCAGTGCAGTTCTATGATTATTCTAATATCCTTGCCATCCACGCCTATCGCCTGTAGTCTTTCTATCAACGGTTCGTGTTTCACATTATTAAAGGCCCTCTGATAGTCAATAAAGCAAAGGAAAACATTTTTCCTTTGACCATAACATTTTTGCGCAAGTAGTTTCATTTGTCAAGACCCTTGATACAGCCTAACAGTGTGTCGCCAATCATCTCTTCACACTTTCTGTATATTTTGGAATAGATGACTTCAAGGAACGCTTTAAGTGCGTGACTCATTAAGCTTATGATTCTATAAGCTCCGCTTCGTTTAATGTCGATCTTCTTTAGAACTTCGGCATATATATTATCAGGACCTGGACTTTTTTGCTTTTCAAACAATTTATTGAATATCTGACTTCAGATTCAAAGATTTTTGGACTTTCCATATTTCTACAGTCGGTTGCTGATACATTGATCCCAGAACAGTGCCTCCTCGTAATAAAAGACATTTGAACTCTTTAAACTTTTTCATTTTTATATTTGTTTATAAGTCTTCGGAGAATTGACGCAACCAAATTTAAAAAATGCGTGCCCCTATTTATATAGTGCCATAATCTTTCGGAATTGAATTTCTTTAAAATTCAATTTGCGATAAAACCGGAGATCAAAGCAGATTGATTCCCTTAGCGCTACTGGCCATATGTGGCGACAAAGAGGCAATTCTTATCGATTTCGCAACCAAAGTAATAAAATGGAAAACTCGCCAAAGGAGCATCTCCCTCTGTTGCAAAAAATGTGTTTCGAATCCGCCGGAAAACTGACACAAAACGAGCGAGAGTTTAACGTAACGCAGAGTAACGAGTATTTTTATTTAGTAATAAGCAGATATTTATTTGCGAAATAAAATAGTTCAACAATTCTAGCGGCTAATTTTCTTAAGAAATAAAAACCATTGATTGATATTGAACCTAGTTCAAGTTTTTACAAAGACAAGTGTCTATATTAGTACACAAAAATTAACAAGCGCCATTAATACAACACCATTAACCTCATTGCGTGAATTCCTCAATAATGTTTTGCATTTTTTATTAAATAACTTACCTGCAATACTTTTTGGTTCCCTACGTACTTTCTTTTGTAAGTCCCTGCCAAATATTGAACTAAAAATTCAGTTTGTATATATCGCGTTTCCAATATTGGTAATGTCTCCATATTTAATAAAAGTTTCGTTCTTCCACCATATTGTCATGAAGTGTTTAAAAGTTATTCAAATGCATTTTAATCACGGAAAAGGTAAAAACACCACAAACGGGTGATACCGAATACGCTTTTGTTTAAGAATGTCCCGCTTAGTTAAAAGAAGGTGTTATCTATCGGGTTTTAGATTTGGCCAACAGGAACTATTACAAAAGTGGACGTACATATATTAACCAAAATTTTCAGCAAGTGTATATGGTTCAAATCTCACTAACACTTCCTTGATGGCTTTCTTAAAATTTCTGATTGCATAGATAAGTGCCTCCCACATCCCACACTTTCTCAGTTAAATTAAATCCAGTACAGGTGTTAAAACGAAAGGTTTTTACAATATGTTAATTTTTGTCCATCTTTTATTTGGCAACGTTGTTGATGATGATGGCTCAGCAGTTTTAGATTAAAGCTTGATTGTGAATTCGGATAGTATTGTCAAGGAAATGAGATTTTTGCAATTTTTGTTATTTACTTTGACTAAAACATTAAACGTTTTTGTTTAATGATTTCGTATCTCCCTTGGCTTTTGAGAGTAGAAACAAAAATCATGAAAACAGACGAAACGTATTTCTACGAATATTTATTTTTTCGACCCCATGATAACTTCCGAGTTCCAAAATATTAACATTAAAGAAAACGACAAAAATGACTGCCATAAGCTGCACGTCAGGATTTTCGCACTCAAATGTTTAACAGATATGCTAGGCAAAACATCCCTTCCGTGCAATTAAGCTTTCTCTAATCCTCTAAAGATGCCGAAAAAAATATAAATTAATATATTGTTATATAATATAGCCATCAAGGCTGCAGTAAAGCGATGGCGTCATTAAAGTTTATCAAACCGAATCACAAAGCACATTAACTATTCAGTATTCATCTGCACAAGCCAGGCAAGTTATATATACATATATATATATATATATATATATATATATATATATATATATATATATATATATATATATATATATATATATATATATATATATATATATATATATATATATATATATATATATATATATATATATATATATATATATATTCTCACGTATTGATTCACGGATGGAAAAATGTGATGACACTATATTCCGGGATATCATCCGTTCGCTCGTTGAACTCCGACTGGAATCCTGCATCCGACTGGAATCCTGCAAATCTTGCATCCGACTGGAATCCTGCAGACGTTTCGCCAAAATCTCACTTGGCATCTTCAATGCTTGCGCTCCGGTGTTCGAAGTGTTTTCGGAGCGCGAGCATTGAAGATGCCAAGTGAGATTTTGGCGAAACGTCTGCAGGATTCCAGTCGGATGCAAGATTTGCAGGATTCCAGTCGGAGTTCAACGAGCGAACGGATGATATCCCGGAATATAGTGTCATCATATATATATATATATATATATATATATATATATATATATATATATATATATATATATATATATATATATATATATATATATATATATATTCTGTAAAGTTTGATTGACGTATCTCTTAACCTAGGTTTATATAAAAAAAATTTGTCTCGTTTTTTTTAAATGACAATTTTTTAGTCACCAACATGTGTCGAGGTGTTTTTTGAAATACCCTGTGGAAGACAAATGAAACAGATGGAGTACAGGGCTATTTTAAAGTATTGCCAATAGTGATATGCAAGTGGCACTTATTATTTTCAGAAACAAATCCAATACAAGTCAGCATAGTTTAGAGAATATTTTTTATATTCATTGCACATTGATTGATTCATGTTTCGGGTTAACACGAACTGTAGCAAAGATAATTACGAAATGTCACGACTGTTTAACAACTAAGGTATGTTAGGAAAACTAACCCTTTTTTCCATGGTCTACTCATGAAAAAAATAAAATTAATTATGTATGCACAGTCACAAGACTAAAATTATTAAAAGACATACGGGGTGTTAAAAAAATAGAAATATAGTTTATATATTAAAATTTGTGAGTTGAAGAAGAAAATTGACGAGCTCAAAAGGGTACTTAAGTGAATTAAATTTCGCAAATCGCTCTGTATCTAACAATTCAACATAGCTATGACATTTATGCTTTCATTTCATGAAAAGGCAGCATTGAGTCACAAAAACTATTTGTTGTATCAATAAGGGAGATTGCGTCGTAAAACCAATAAAAATTAGACACACCATCGTGTTTCTCGTTTAACAAATGACCGGCTTTTTATCGTACTATTTCGTAATATCGTATTTTATAACTAACGACGTATTTCAATTTCCAGGTATATGAATTCCGCGTTGAACCCCGTCATCTATACCATTTTCAACAAAGATTTCCGGCGAGCATTTAGACGTATCCTGTTCAAGTGATGTTTAGCATACGTGTGCTGCTACGAGTGCGTAAGTCGGCGGATTCGAACTGCGCAGTACCGCAGCGCACCAATAGGACTGTACAGATTTTGAATTTATTCGGTTTTAATTAGTGAACAAATAAATAATATCGTGCTGTGTTTAACAAACGACAAAACCGCTATGCAATTCCTGAAGCAGTGCTGTGATTAAGTTTGCAATCGACGATAAGCTTTCGAAAACGCGATTCCATGGAGTTTTGGAAAAAACAATAATAAAATAAAAATGTTTGGTCTTCGTCGGGGTTGGCACTGACAGTATTCAGTATTAAAATACCCCTAACGATTTCTTTTGAGGAACTAAAACATTTTTTTTTCGATTTATTACAGTAGCAATAAATATTTTTTCTCATAGCTTTTAATATACGAAAAAAGCAAAAATACGTTACTACGCGTCTTTTATGTTTCGACACTGCCTTTCAGTGGAACAAAATTGTATTTTCCTCCAAAGCCTAGGCATAAATTCGCGTATTCCATTTCATATTTGTTTCCAATTGTTTTTAGCGTTCGAAATTTGTAACTCCCCAAGGTACATTGATGATGTTTACGCTGTTGCGAATGAATACTGCGCAGAGCAATAAATCCGATAATAACAGCTAACGAACTGGTCGTTTGTGAAACACGGTCGCACTCTTATTATTCTGTCGACAATCCTCATCTTATATTATTTTTATTCATGTTTAATGGAGACCATTCTTATTGATTCTCTATATTTAAAAAATTTAGATTATTTTAAAAACCAAAGTGGGCAGTTTCAATGACTCTTTTTTTCTTTCTATGTACTATATTAAATTGCGCTTTTGACTGTGGCATATCATTTTAGTCTTTCATACGAAATTTGATCAATATCATTGCTTTTTTTCATAAGGCATTAAGAATTTTTAACGTGTTGTTCACGTTTAACCAAGACATATCGACAGCTTTATTGCATCTATTATATTTTTGAAACAATCAAAATCTGCACAAAATCAAAAGCTGACAATAATATAAACATTCGTATGACACTAGGTTTTAGAAGATGATCTAAATTGCCGAAAAATATTAAAAATGCTACAAAAATTAAATCTGCGTAATATAACAAATATTTAACGAGCTAAATTCACAATGACGCGTGCCTGAATAAGTACTCTTCGATTGGCGCTGATGTCATTTGTTAGTTTTCATTAGTTTCAAAAATTTGCTGCTGCTCCCCTAATTCATATTATTCAAAATTGTCTCCCATTCAATCCTCGTTTCAAATAGAAATATTACTTGATTATCCTTTTTTTCTGCCAATTCTTACTGCTACTATCTCGAAACATTCACTCATTTGCAGGAAACTGCCTAATAAGCGACGTCACGATCTAGTATAGCTTAATGAAACAATCTAAAACATGTTTTTGCAAGAGGTTGGCTGCTGGGATCAGTAGCTATATAGAATTCTATCTTTTTCTCTTCTTGAGTTAATTTTACCAACTGCACGGATTTTCGGACTCATAGTCCCACTGCAGGTGCAAACTTAATGATCAAACTGCTTTATTGTAATTTTATATATTTATTTATTTAATAAATGCAAATTACATTTTAAATCGAAACATTTTAAATAGGAAAGTCATAAAACTGATCGCCGATTTATTTCTCTAGAGCATTTTACGATCGTCATTAAATTACGACTTTAATCCAGTTTCGGTGATGTCTTTAAAACTAACGTCGTTAGTTCATTTTAATAAGAGGGAGAGCAATTAATTATCTTGCTTTTTCTAATATAATTCAAAAATGCGATTCCACATAGGAAATAAGCTTGTCGATGTTATCAGCCAAATTTAAGAGCAATCTTAAACACGGACGCAGTTCACTAACGGGTGTGCTATTTTCTGGCATTTTTTTACAAAAGCATCATGAATCAATGCTTCTGATTATAAATTTACGGTTGTGCAACAATCAGTGATCCTGTATTTCAATAAGCGACTTTATCTGAATATTCATTATGTTTACACATATTAAGCATTTAAGTTTTTTTTTTATTCCATTTTAAAATGACGACAAGAAATCTCTTATTTAGGGTCAACAAGTGTTTATTTCTAATCTATAGGTACTCATTCTTAATTGTTTTTGAGCTTGCGATTTGGTTTAAAATAAATGTTACAATCAGAATATCTCTAAAATGGAGTGTTTTACCGAAATAAATGAAGTTTATATTTTTATTTAGAAATCGTAACTCGTAATCGTAATCTATAAATTCAAAAAGCCCCTAATCAAAGTTTTTATGTCGATACCTAAAAAACAGCTTGAGCTACAGAGAAGTTAGAATTTCTTTAACTAAATTATAACACCCAACATCTTATTGATCGTGTCACATTCCAACCTCTTTCTTGGCCTCTTGAAGTGGTTTAATAAACTGAATGAAGGATAAATTCTATTTTTATTCAGCACAAAAGGCGACTGTAGTACAATAACGTATTGCAGAATCCACTGCTACACAATGTCTTATTTTTAACAATTTAATTTTTATTTTTTAAGACTTCTTAAAAATTGCCGTTTGACTTTAGGGAAGCTTGAAAAATATTTTGTTTAAGCCATATAATCGTACATTTTGTCCATGTTCAGTGAGGGCATATTAGTTTCTTTTGCTGGCGCTTTAACAATTCAAATGTCCAAATGTAGCGTCAGCCATCAATAATTGTCATTATGAGTTTAATGTCACGATTAATGCGCGGATGCGAGATAAATCTACAATTAGGGATTAGTTTAATTAGGCTAATTGCTGGTAGGATTACGAAGTTAGGGCACGTAAGTTTAGCTAAACTAAATGCAATACTAGTCATCTAAATAAACCCGCATTTGCCATTTCGAAGTTGCAAGATTGATTTTGCAATTAGCATTTTGGTTGTGCCGGAAATTGCGATTTGAGAATGTTCTCTTGCTTACTTGACACAGTTTTTCTTTTGTGTTTCAACTGACGTGAAATTCCTTTCACTTTTGCATATTTTTTCCACAAATTTAATGGTAATTTTAAAAAAGCAGCTGTTGCTATTAATTTTTTCTCTGCGTTTTGTGAATTGAAAGAGGGCATCCGCCATAGTGTCAAGAATTTCATTTTGAGATTTTGTCTATTTCTGAGAGCCGTAGAATAACCAGGATGAAGAACAAAGAAAAAAAGTTTGTTTGTACCGTGACTGTGTACTGTTTTTTACCAAATTAGTGCATTATATTTTTTAATGTTTTAATTAAGTTATCAATGGATTTGGCTAAAATAAATCTGCATTTTTACATAAACAAAATTTAATTTGGGTGTGTTTGGTTGGTTTGTCAAGCAATTCGGCTGCATTGCGACTGTCCATTTTGGATTTATCTAATTAAAATAAATATGGAGCAATGACTACCACTGTGATAATATAACGCTTTTATTCTGAAATTTATAGTAAATAGTTTTACCTTTAAATTGGAGAGTTATTAATAATTACGTGTTAATGAACAAAACAACTATTTGATGTTTAGGATAATGATTTTTCTCTTGTAAATATTTAGGTGAATATATTGTACTAATAAACTTTAATTATATGAAATTTTAATACTTTTAAGTTTTATACGGTGAGAGCGACGAGTCTCGTCCAAATAATTGTCTGTTTATGGTGGAACCTGGGTGTGCGGCGGTTTGTCGATCCTTCGAAGTTCATGATATGACACCCAAATATTCAATGTGTTATCAAACTTTCAAATTTTGCTCGCCTCTCGTTACTATTTTGGATTGTTTTGCTTTGTTATGCTTTGGTACATACGAAATAAGTATGTTCATGATATTTATATAATACAATATAGCTGTAGTATAATTTAGTTAGATATTCGACCGAAAATTTGTGTCTGAATTAATTTTCCATTTGACAAATTTTCTGTTGTCTCAGCGAACAAGGAGGATAAATATTCAAAGACAATTAAATGGAAATACCAGTAGCCATAGTGATACAAGAAGGACTGGTCATCGATCGACTGTGTATTTTTGAACAATAAGGAGATAGTAAATAACCTGAACCCCATTTAACTTTGTATTGCATATAATTTCGACGAAAATGGAACTCTTCATTACAGTTACAATTACAATTAACCACTTAACATATTTTTGTGCGACAACTGACCCCTTAGCAATTTCGTTCTTCGTTCTTTCTTTTCTGCCCTTCTTTTGTCGTCTAATGGGGTAACTAGGTAATTGACAATGACAACTACGCCAGACCTACAGACACGGCCTAGGAAATCTCTCTGCAAATTATGTCCTCGTCGCACCGCCATATTCGCTTACAATTAAAAGGGCATTAACGATCCGCCGGCAAACTACTAATTCCGCTTAATTAGTTAATTTAAAATCCCGCAGAAAATTAAACTTTTACGAGGCGGAGGACGACGACGACGACGAGCTCCGGTATCCGGAAAAATAGAGAAACGGACCGGACTCTTTCAAACATTTAATAAAATTCCAATAACTTCGACATTCCGTGTAACATAACGGCGACGTAAAATTTTGTTATTTCGTCTTTTTGTTCTCTGTACGGCTTTCGGGACGCTGCGGAAACTGCCATCCCGACGGGCCGGTCGTCCAGTGGCGTCGCGATCGAGGGCAAATTTTGGATTTCCTTTGAGACACTTTTTTAGGAAATGTTCCACCGTTTCTGCATTTTTGTACGACCGGTATATTTGAATCCGATTAAAACGTTCTATGCCATCTAATTCTTACTATCGCTATCTCGGCACGTGTCCTCCTCCAGAGATCTTTACTGAACTCCCTCTTCAAAAAAAAGATGCTTTCTTCTTCACTGACAGTGCGAATTTAAGATCTTCTTCGTTGCTGGGTTCTAATGTTTACATAATGTCGTTCGGTATTCTACCCTCTCCTCTTCAGAAGTGCATTTCTGCGACATTTAGTTTTTTTGTGAGGCCATACTTCAGAGCTACATGTTATTGCGCTTCTTACCATGGATTTGTAAATCAATTTATTTTGTTATCTATATTTATGTTTTTGTCCCATACTGTACTGCATTTGTTCCTTGAATGTTTCTTTCAACTATGTAAGCTTTTTAAATTCCTAGTACACACTCTGTCCATTTCAAAACAAGCAGACAGTCTCAATGAGGCAATTAAACTTTATCAATTAATTTTTCAATGAGAATGACAATGGCATTGTCAATTACCAAGGAAATGAATCAAATCATCAAACATCCACATAAACGTTATATAAATATGAATATACCAGACCGAAAGATACATTTCGAAACACTTTGAATTGAAAATATCCGAGTCTTATGGTATTGGCTGAAAATGTCTCCTTTCAATGAGCTTGTTATTTGATATTATATTGTTGGTCGGGTTTATTTGTTCTCGTCTATAAGTAATTTATTTACACAATTTCCAGGTGTAAGTCTACATTATTACCATTTAATGAATTCAATTTTATAATTCATAACCCTGCTGTACAAGCAAAAATTGATCGCTTATCTCGACTTCCCCAAAACTAAAAGACAATATTGTCAATCACCTGAAATGACTTAAAAAATCTATTCAAATGCTGTCAATAAGCAGTAAGCTATCCAACTACTACTAATGGGTATTTTTTAATTTTACGTAAATCGATTACGAATGCTACGCCACTGTCGATCGGCGATATCTCCGAATTTCGGACATTAGCGATGACCAGTTGCTATTTGATCAATAAACGCGAGTGTTTGTAGCGGATCCTGAAATATGGCTATACGAAAGAGTAATTTTAAGCTCAGAAGTCTCATTGATTCGAAGATTATTTTCACTGACGCGAGAAGCAAAAGGTCATTCTCTTTTTAGGTATACGTTTTTAGCGGCCGGGTGGCGGATAAATTGATAATAAACGTATGAATCGATAAATTCGTCGGATTCGTGGCCTTTTGTGTTTAGATTTTCTCATTTTCGAAGGCTGCAAAACCCCCACCAGAAGTAAGATAAAGCGTCGAGTCTCTACCGTCCCCAGAATTTAATTCCGTTTTATGGGTTTTAACACAAATAAGACTACAAGTTTTTACATGTGATAGAAATGAGGAAGACCTCCTTTGAAACAAGGATTCGAGGAAAAAATCCAGGACCCAAGAAAAGTTTATTTTTAATTTATTAATAAACCATTCTGTTTTAACTTTTCCATTTTAAAATTATTTTCCTAAATAAGCTTTGAAATAATTATTTTGTACTACAAAATACCGAGCTGTTGGAAATTTTAATTAATTTTTTTATTTATAACTTACTCTGTTCAAAAAATGATTGTATGATTTTTTGTTTTCCTAAAAATATAAACGTTTATTTTTTTTTTCACCATGAATGCAACAGATAAGCTAATCTAAAAAAGTTTTTGTCACTTTCGTTTCATCTATTTTTTTGCTAAAAAGTCGGGTCAGTAATTAGTTATTTCGGAAATTGTGGCAAAACAAAGCAAAATACCAATGCAAACTAAACAAAATGCCCGCAACTGGGAGTCTAAAAAGTTCGCTTCAACGTGTTTTGCACTGCCCACCGATTTGTTCCACTCAAAACGCCATTTAATTTTAAGGCGAATCGCCGCCGTCACCCAGAACAAATTAAATGGAGCCGATTATGATTGGAGAGTGTTTAAAAAATTTGACTAGAATAGACACCAATATATCAAAACCCCTAGAGGCCGATCATTCTCTTGTTATACTCCCTGGACGCTATAATATTTTTCCAACAAAGTACAGTATGTCCCAGATGAAATTACGTATATGGGAATATTGGAAACCCCACGAGATGCAAAGTGCGTTAATTGGAAGCAAGGTTGGCATTCGTATGAGCGGTATCTTAAATGGGTACCATTCAATTCTGTAAATACAGAGTAAAGAACTAAATTGTAGGTTTTACAAAAAATTCCAAATTCTACAAATATTTGATTTGAAACTTTCTTACCTGCTACCGACTTTGTATTTCCTACAGTTCGAGTTATGTCATTTTATACGGGATACGCTTTATAACAAAGAAGTACATTTGTTGCCTTTGGTAAAGTCTCTAGGGGGAGTCTTCCACGAGGGTCGCGCCATCGGGTTGTTCTTTTAGATTTTTTGATTATTCCTTGTGCAACGAAACTATTGGTGCTAATTGACTGGTAGATAACCGGAACTAGGGTTAATCACAGGTAGCCGTGGTTCCGGTACCGAGACAACCCGTGTCCGACACGGTACCGAAAACGCTCGAGCCCGCGTCTTCGGTACCCGAGGCCTGCGCAGCCCTACTTATCTTGTTACGTCTTTAGACCTATTGTTACAGAAAAGAACATTTATTGCCGCTATAAATACTGTCCTAAATTTGTGTGTGTAAGTTTTCCGTGGACACTATTACTACTATCAAATTGTAAGATTATGATATAAATAAATCAAAATATAAATCTTACGTGGGGGTGTTTTATTTACGTATGCGGCGATCAGAGCAGAACAATCTGTCTACAAGTTTTAGTTCATTATTAGTCGAGAATATATTGGGGCCTCCCTAGGGACATGTAGGACATAAAGGAACTATATTCTATAATGTCGGGGACATTGGTTCATTTTTACTCCCAGGAGCACAACAATCGCATTCTTGAACGCCCAGGACTCTGTATCTGGTGGCCCATTAATAAAGGACGCCGGCCATATCTCAGGAACCGTTAGTCATACAACTAAGAAAAAAATTATTTTCAAGTTGATAAAATGGCCGCTAGGGGGCTTATCCTCTACTACAAAACAGAAAAAACGTGTTTTCTCGAAAATATTCCAAACTAACCCATACCAAAGTTAGTTTTAGCGTAAAAACACAGAAAGTAAGTAGAAACGGCATGGCAAGTTTTTTTTTTCCTTTGAGATATAAATAAAAATGTGTTTATTAAACATATTTTTCAACCATGGCATAGTACCAAAGACGAAAGACGTTCCGTAGGAAGCTTATATTTTCTCCTAATGCAATAATCAATTATAGTTAAAAAATGAATCATCAATATAGTTTATTAATATATTACATGTTATTGTCAATATTGGCCAGTCGAGTCTACTATAAATATTCTTCAAAACTAAACTAAGTTCGTCGAAATCGGATTAGACAAAAAAAAAGTTATTCAACTTTTTCTAAAACAATATTTGACCCTTTCCCTACTCTTAATTTGACGAGATAGAAAAAAATAGTTCAAACAAAAAGGCATCCTTATCTAGAGTAAATTACGCTAAAACTAATTTTGATGTAGGTTAATTTGGAATATTTTTGAGAAAACCCTTATTTTAAAGTAGAGATTGCGCCAATTATAAGCCATTTTATGAACTTGAAAATAATTTTCAGCGTTTTCTCTTGGCCGATTTACCTATTGTTTTTTCAAAATTGTCTAACGGGTCATCTGGTACAGTGTGGGTGCTTATTACAGTGTCAATCTGAACGTAAACCAATGTATTTCAAAGTTTCAAATCCAAACAAGGGACGAAAAAGTGACAGCCTAACCTTACATTTTGGTTTGATGTTATCCGCCATTCGTCAAATTTTGTTTTATTTTTGCGCTTTAGTTTTAAACATCGACAACTAACAAGCAGTAAGAATATGAGCAGAATGTGAACAAAATACTAGGTAGGTTTTTGTTAGTCAGATGGAAATCATAATAGTGGATGTTGTATATATAAGTCCTGAGATTCAAAAGGGCAAACTCACCCCAACTTATACGGAAAAGGTTACAGATGCAATGTGAAAACAAGTAACTGCAACTTTAAATTCAAAATCCGGAGGTATCATTATGTCAGTGCATATATATGTTCTTTGTTTCTTCGTAGACCTGGAGGAGACCTGGAGACAGTGGGGCCACAATACTAATATTCAATATTTAAAGGAAATCGTTAGAACTTCCACCAAATAATGAATACTTCATTTTGACATATAATACTGGTCTAGTTCTTGGCTTGAGGTTGTCCAGTAATACTTGCATTTTTCTGCTACTTCTAAATAGTTAGTCATGATTACATTAGCGAAATATTTTTTTCTAATCCTCAGTTTATATAACACACCTTTTAAAACACATAAAACCAACTAAATATCAACTTTCGAGGATAGAATCTCAGCGAGAGCTTGCTTTCTATTGGGGGAAATTCTTGAAAGTTTCGCGAATACAACTTAACCGTTTTAGGGTGAACCACGCCCATTTTCCGGGCGAGTAAACATTTTTTAAAAATCCAAGAACACCGATGCTTGAACCTCAGCAATCCGCTATCGAAGTCGGCCATTGTTGATGCCCACAATTAAATCGCAACTAACATGACAATCTGGAAGTTAGTTTCACTAACAAAGCAGTTGATGTAAATTCAGCATACCGTATTATGACGTCAAGGCGGTATACTCGATGAGTTCGAGGATGGGTTCCCTGTCCATTTATTTAATTTCTCACTTATTTATTTGAAAATTATGTTGAAAAAGGTTCTCAACTTAAAGGTTATGTCGTAAAGTTTAGATAAATTTAAATTGTCGTTTCCGATATATTCCGTATTTTAGTTTTTAAGACACACCTTAAATCGTGCCTAAATTAGAATTAGAAAGACGACTTTGGTAAATAAAAGTAATGCGATAATAGCATTACTGCGGGTGTCTGAATATTAAATAGAATAATAATTATACATGATTTAATTATAATTTTTCTAAGATTCAGTAAAAAAAAAACAATAGACCTAAGGATAATAAGAAAATGAATATATTGGTGACCTGATGGGTGGTTTTTATCGTCGTGTATTAGTCGTTATATTGTTGACTGTCCAACTCCAGCCATATTCGAACACATTTCAACTATTTTTAGTACTTGGAATGTTGAGTTCTGGTGGCGAAGAGTTTGTCCGCCCTCCGAAGCCTCGGTAAACACCACTAAGACCACCAAGTTCTAGAGGTCAATAATTAAGAAACAGAAAAAAACGTGTTTTCCTCAAAAATATTCCAAATTAACCTATTCCAAAGTTAGTTTTAGCGTAAAAACACAGAAAGTAGTAGAAACGCCGTGGAAATTTTTTTCCTTTGAAATATAAATAAAAATGTGTTTATTAAACATATTTTTCAACTATGGCATAGTACCAGAGACGAAAGACGTGACGTGGGATGTATATATTTTCCCCTAGAGTTAAATTTGCTTTTGTCCTAATTTCCAATAATCCAATAATCAATTATAATTAAAAAATGAATCGTCAATATAATTTATTAATATATTACGTGCTATTGTCAATATTGGAAAAAAGGGTAAAAAAAGTAAATAGGCTTTGCAGTTGGCATCGTGACGGCATGATGAAGAAATCAAAGTTTTTTTTTTCGAATGCACGTTACATCCATTATATCTCAAAGGGGATATTGCCACTCCCTTTCCACTAAAAATATTTATTCCATTGTGTTTGAAATTTTACTGAAAATCATAAAAATAGCTGCAAAACGAACTTATAAAGTGATATTGACATGCCAGTCACAGCTCCTATGAACTTTTTAAAACTAAATCAAGTTCATCGAAAGCTGATTCTCGCTAAATTGTTTATAGATCAATTTAATCATAAAGTTTACCAACAATTGGAAGGAATTAGGCAATTTCTCAGTTCCATTTCGTTCTAATTAATCCATGCGAAATTTTTAAAAACGGGTTGAAGTAAAATTTCCAAATCAGAAATTTAATAATAAGAACGGTCAAATAATTTGGACGAGGAATCAATTAATTTAACCGCAGTGTATAGTACACCACAGTGAATTTCGTTTTCTATTTTCTTTCCCATACGTAAAGTGGTTTATTAACTTCCCGTAGAATGTCGGTATCAATTAATAGAACCAAATACTTTTGCTTTCTCAAAATTAAGATTTAGTAATGTAATTAACTCGACAGTTCATAACGTCATTTAAATCACTCGGTATTGACACCAACTCATGCAAAATCGCCTAAATGAGGGAGCTAATAATATCAGCACGAGGAAAATACCTACATTTCCTAGACTTCACCATTTGTCAAGAAAATTGTTATTTGTCTTCCTTGAAACACTCTTAGTTTAATATTGGTCGGTTTTCTAGACATTAAAACTGTCTGGATTACTTTTTTACATACGACGTGCATTCAAAAAGTAAGGTGGCTTTTGTAATTGCGCAGGCTATGTACATTCGATCTTCGATATTTTTTTTTATGTTGGTACATATGTCCTTAGCATATGTTCACAGCTTCAGCCAGTTTGCTGTTGCTGTAAAAATAATGGAACAAAGAATTTGTATACAATTTTGTGTAAAGAATAGAATACAGTACAGCAAAACTCTTGAAATTTTGACTAGGGCATACGGTGTGGTAAGTGGTAAAAGCTGTTCCCAGATGGCCGAGAAGACGCCGATGACTGTCACAGCAAATCGTGTTGAAGACCACTATTAGAGAAGTGGCTGAAGACGTCGGCATGTCTATTGGCTCGTGCCTTGCAATTTTTTTCCGAAGTTTTGTGCAGCAAAATTTCTTTGGAAGTTGCTTAATTTGGAACAAAAGGACCGTCGAGGGAGCATCGCTCAAGAGCCGTTAACCGACGTCAAGATGATCCTGATTCCTGATATTCACCGGACATGGCCCCTTGCGAATTTTTCCTGTTCCCAAAACTCAAGAAACCTATGAAAGGAATAAGGTTTCTAACGATTGAGGAGATGAAGAGAATCGCGGGAAGAACTCAAGTCTATACCAAAAAGTGCTTCGAGGATTGGAAAGACGTTGGCGCAGGCGTATTATATCTGGGCGGATTACTTTGAAGGGGAAAACATTAATTTTGATGAATAAATAAATATTTTTGATAAAACTTAAATCTCACATTACATTTTGAACACACCTAGTATGGGTAGATCGCATACTAAGCCGAAAGCATTATTTTTTATATATTTTTAAATTATATGCAGGGTGAGTAGAAATGCACACGGGTTAATAACATCATCCGACCTTTTATTTTCGCACACGGTTTCTGTAATACAGGGACTTAAACTTTATTACAAAAAAACAACAGTTTTATTTATAAATTTATCAGTTTTTCACATATTTCATTGAAACTTTCATATGAATGTTGTGAATAAAAACGGCCTACCAATAAAATAAAGGAGTATCCTGTACCTTATTACCATCCAAAATTTTACTTTTTTAGATAATGTACATTAATTACAAAATTCAAGCTTGAGAATAACCATGAGTAAATAATTAACAGTAATCAATGACAATAAGTTTCTTAATTATAAAAATTAGATCTACTTTCGTTAAATTTTAAACCTAGAAGAAATACAGCTTAAAGTAGTCCAGAAAACATTGTCTCGTTCTTATTTTTATTTAAAATTTATAATACGGATATTATTATTAGTGTTCCATTTATATGAAGGTTTCATC